AGTGAAGCGCGTATGTTAGTCTTTTATCATCATTACTTTTGCCACCTGGCTTTTTCTCTAGGAGCCTCAGTAGTAGTCTAGGCACGCCTGATGGAACTACCTGGGATCACCTCCCTGTGTTAGGGGGATGGTCAGAGACTTCTGATGCCCAGAGCTGCATTGATGTTGAAAAAAGTTGCTTTCTGGGGCCGTATGTGTTAGGGCAAAAACATCAATCTCTGTATGTCTTTCCCCCCACCCCCCATATTGATCAAAAAGTTCATTTTAATAGCATTAGTTCTGTTGATTTCAACAGTCTCGTGACTTGAAATGTTTAGGTTTTGTTTTAAATTATGCTTTTCCTTTAAATTCTTCTCATGTATTTTTTAGCTGTGTGTGTTCGTATAAGGTATTTGAAAAGATGTTGCTCAACACCTTTTTGTTAGTGTGGTTGTAGACTGAGCAATACATAGATTTTTGAATTGGCTCTCAACAAGAACTAGTGCGATGAAAGATTAAGAAGGAAGAGGAAATATTGAGAAACACCTTGTATAGGTGTGATACTGATGATATATCTGACTCTGTAGATTTGGATCAACAACATATGCTTGATTTGGGGGAAACAGTGAAGTGGAGAGGACACAAGAAAATGGGACACTTAAACTAGGACTTTATTAGGCAGGTGGAATTTATTCCTACCTAGTAGTATGGAAAAGTACCTAGTTTTCAGTTTTAAGTAGGTATCTTAGTTGCCTCAGTGTCTCTGGAATCACTGGAATAGGGGTACTCAAAAGTTAATTTGAATTTTCTATGGGGAGGGAAGGTTAGAAAGTAGCTGGTTTTCATAGGAAAATGTTCTCTTTTAGATATTTTGTGTTTGTAAATCTAATGCATCAGCATATGAAGACATTTCTGCCTGAGACCAGTAAGAGACTTTTAGCCCTTTTTTTTCTTTTTGAAAAAAATATTTTTATCTTGTCTGTTCGCTATTGGTATTTTACTGGTACAACAGCATATAAGGTCAGGAACGTCCATATATGTTTTTTCAGATGATTCCATGATATGCATGACTGGAATCTTCCAAAGAAGAAATTAGGTAAAATATAAAGGAACAAAAAATATTTTCCTTAGACTTTCAAGCATCTGTATGTAATTAATGTAATAGCAGTGGTTCAAAACTAGAACTTTTTACCTTTTCATGGTTGACTCTAACAACCTGAGCGAGTACAACATCGTAATCTGCTTGTGTATATAAGCACTGTATTTTTGCATGGAGCAGAATTTTTTAGAGTTCAAAAACTTGCTATTCATGAAATGCCACCCTGATACCCAATAGTTTGAAGACTGATAAAGAATAAAGCTGTATGAGCAAGACACCATTATTTGTAAAGTGAAAAACATGGTGAAGTAGGCTTTGATTTTTGTCAGTGAATTTTTCTACTTGTCTAAATTTATTGTTTCACCTGATAAAAGATTGAGAGGATAAGCTGTGGGTGGTTGGTTGATCTGTATCTATAAATTTGACATTACTTTAAGCCTATCACAGGTGACATTCTGTTTCCCAGCACCTTTAATTTAATTTGAGAGACTGAGTGGTTTTTTCTTCCCCAAAGGTTATATTTTGTGTTCCACAGTGATTTCAATTGGATAGTTTGAAATGCTGCTATAAAAATGCATGGATTGAAGTGATGCTCTCAGCATTAAAGTAGCAGAATTACAGCCTGCAAGAGAAGCTGACACTTTGAGAAGTGCTGGTCTTAAATATTTTTTTCCTAAAATATCCTAAAGAATATTTGAATTTACTAACTGTTCCTGAAATTTTGGGTCTGAGCGTGCTGCTTCTGTGTTGGTCAAAACCCTTTCTATTGCTTAATGTATATGGGACAGTGTAAGGAGCAAGTACAGTCTCTGACGGCTGGGTCCTTCCAGCCCATTTCTCCTGAACAGATTTAGTGATGTGCTATCACTGATACTAGCCATTCTCTATTGCTTTCTAAAAAACAGTGTCAGAAGTCCTTTAGATCCTTTCTGTCATACTAATTTCTAGGAGGCTTCATTAAAATATTGGGGGACAATTCATTTGTGAGCACTCATCTATGCTTTGTGAAGCTCTCACATGATGAAAAATTATAGGTATACAATAAGGGAGAATATATTCACAAGCTCTATTGCCTTACTCAGATTTGCCCAGAGATAAACATTCTAACTGTTTTTTCATACAGTATTTCTTAAAATCTGTAAAAGGAAATGCAGATTTCTGAGGTGTATTTAATTTACAGAATGTCTTCTGGTCTGTTCGGAGTTAAGTGTTTGGAGAATTTCAGTAATTCCAAACATCTTTCCTCATTTTCTTTGCTGTAATTAACTTAGCCTTTTGCTCTGTATCACACATAAAGAACAAAATTGCCACTGCTCCTCAATGACTTTTTTCCTGGAGTAGCAATTTTCAGTGGCTTGGCAATGTCAAATAGAATTTCATAGCTTAAAGTGAGTGATTTGTGAAGAACTCTGTGGATTTTGGTTTGCATTTCTTTGGGAAACCATAAATATCACAGATACATTGCAAATCAGGAAAGCATCTAGCAATTACCCTAATATATTTTTAATGACCTTTTGGTTAGATGGTTTAGCAGGATTTGCAGTTCAGTTTCCATCCTCTTTTGAAGACGAAGACTGTGTATAATATGTGAGTGAAAAGTCCTGCAGTCCTTGTAATCAGAATATCATGGAGAAACAATCTTTCTGCATTGGGTGGCATGTGCCCGGCAGGAGGATGCAGTGTGTTTTACCCTTCCTCTTTGCCAAGGTGATGTGTCAGTTGGGGTCCTTTTACTTCAGACTCAATATATCTAAAGTGATGGCCTTATCTGAATGTGTCACATAAACTTTTACTCGTTCTTCCTCCAGTACTCCCTCTTCCCTCCCCTATTCTCCCCTCCCTTTACTGAGATGTGTCTACCAAATGTCGTATATATGGCTTTTTGAGACAAAAAAAACGCATGGTGATTTAGAGATGTGGCAATGCAAGAATGCTGTTCTGATGTGCCTCAATCCCTTGGTTTGTTTGATAATCTTTGGATAATACCTAAAGATACACTCATCTACAAAGAAGTAATACATAATACAAAGAAGTAATACATAATATTTATGTAGTACTTCACATTTTCAGTGACATACAAATATGAGTCTGATAAAAAGACTGATGTACTTGGTACGCCAAATAAATGCTAATAGATATACTACGTAGATATATACATAGATATATTACATTCTGTGTTGTTATGGAAGTTGCATAAGTACTGACTGCAGTTTATGTAATTTCTTTTTGCAACAGAATGCAGTAAGTATGACTCGTTTGCAGTGCTGATTTTGATGCATGCCCAATTTTATCTCTCTCATCTAGAGCTATGCAAGTTTTGCAATCTCTGATTGATAATTGCAGTTGGTGTGAGGGGCAGAGTTTGATGTGGCTGAGAAAGTTTGGTGATCAGCTATGATTTTGCTTTACCTAAAATTAAAATGATAAAAGTAATCTGTGCTACCGCAATATTTTCTAATCTGCTTGTGTGTTCTTAATCTCATTTTAGCAACCAGATCCTTAATTTAAAACATTTAAATGATTGCAGTTGCCCTGTCATAAAAATTGTATCACCATAATTTGAGCTTCGCAGGTATTGTATAGCAGACTTATTTGATAGCGTAAAAAGGCATAGTGGTTTATTCTGCAAATTTTCAGGCTTCCTAAATAACCAAAGTGTTCTTGATGACTAGTAATTAAGAAGGGGGAAAAAAAAAAAGGATGAGGGGGAGGGAACCCCACAACCACAAAGCTGAGAAGAGGCAACCAGCAGCAGATATCCAAAATTACTCTTGATTGCAGTTATTTCTGCAGATACATGTATAGAATTCTTGCAATATTAGTGACTTTTTCAAGCACTGGGAAAAAAAAAACCAATGAAGCTGCTGTTCCCTTTTCTTTGAAAGTGGCCTTTTAAACTGGTCCTCAGAATGGGCACCTGGCCTCCAAACTGCACTCATTTCAGATAATGGAGATGAAGTGGTGAACCACAGCTTTTATGCTGCAGTCCTGGCCCTGGTGACATTAGCAGAAAAGCTTCAGTTGACTTGAGTGTGAGGGCTTTACCTGTGGTATTTAGGGGCTTGCAGTGGCCATCGTTTCCGATGCTGACCCGTGTCCTTCTGGAAGCCTGTTGCTGTAATGTCACAGCCCTGCTCCTGCAGCAGTGCTGCCATGCAGCCGTGATGGAGTAGGCTGCCATGGCTGCAGTCGCTGAGCAGCCTTCCCGCTGCCCACCCCTGCTTCCAGGGTCTGCTCTGTTTCCTGGTCCCTTCTGCAAAGGGTTACACGCATGCTTGCTCCCTAACCCAGTTTTATACGAGTTATCCTTTAAAAGGATTTTTGGTTGATAAAGTTCTTTCGATTCCCATCATTTCAGGGGGCAATTACATGAGCAGTTTGTTGGCAGGGAGGAGGTGGGTTGACCTCTGGAGCCAATAATCTCTTAACCCAGGCTTAGCTGCAACCAGAACAGCAGCCTGGGCCTCGGTCTGTTGTGAAATAGGATACTTTATTTGCTACTGAGTGATCCTAGTTGGAAAAGAGCTAATGCTACCATCATCATTTCATTTATCAGAACCTGCAGGAGACTACGTTCTACACATGGGGACAGATTAGTGCAGGCAAAACTATTGTTGTTTATTCCTTGACACCACAGGCTCAAGGAATGACTTGTCCCAAGGAATCGATACAGAGGCATCATGAATATAAACCTACAGAGTTTTTGTCCCTCCCAATGGAGAAAGCCTCAGGGAAGGATTTGGTCTAAAATTTCCAAACTAATCTCATTCTCAATAAAATATTACTCAAACCGTCACATCACAAAACTGGAAGGAGTAGTTAATAAAGCAGCTTGTTGACTTGCAGCTGCTGCAGTAACTTACTCCAGCTGAGTTCCAGGGTGTTTACACAATAGCAAATGCAAACATGTTTTATCTGACAGGACAACAGCTTTGAGCAATTCATTATCAACTACTGTAATGAGAAGTTGCAGCAGATCTTCATTGAACTTACCCTCAAAGAAGAGCAGGAGGAATACATCCGAGAGGTAATACTTGAATGGATCTTTCCTTATCCTCTCTTCCCGTTGTCCCTGTAAAGATACTTAGGCATGCATACTGGATCCCCTTTTCAGGGAACGGAGTCACTTTTTGACCACAGGCCTGGCATGGAGCATGTTTGTGTAGGACTGTGTGGTGGTTACATTAAACAAAAAAAGTCGGTTTTGGTTTTGTTTCACATTATGAGTTGTCCAGGTATAAACCAGACCCAGCTCTCATTCATTGGCAACAATGACTGGCAGTTCTGAGCAAGGGCTAATTAATTTATTAGAAGACTAATATTGCTTTCTGGTGTTAGTGCCATTACCCTACAGCCTGTGTTTTGGATTACACAGTAGCGTCTGGGATACACCCCAACACCGGCCACAGCTAATCCTGTTTCAAAAGGGAATTGGGTGGGTAAAACAATAGCATGCAAGATGAAAGAAACTACAGATAGATTTTGGGTTCTAGTTTTCTTTCAGTTAAGTATTGAAGGGAGCTCTGTGAGCTTTATGGGTAAATTTAAGATGTGCTTTGGAGCCCGGACTCCGGTGTTTGATGTTATTCAGTGAGTGAACATCAAGTTAAAGTTTTAATAGGTTTTAGCAGTACTCCCCATGATATACAGAGCTCAGGCAAAATACCAGCTCACAGCTGCAGAAACTGGCATACGCTGTCTGTACTCAAATTAGATGATAGCATTTTGCTGTATAAACATTTTTAAAAATTAAATAAAGTTCCTGCCTTATAATCCTGAGGATAATATGAAGTTTGGGCATGTCTTTTTTCTTTTTGCATTCAGTGGTGAAACTCTTCAAACATCATTACTGCAGTTTGGTTCTTGAATGATATTTCAAATGCTCTGAAAAAAACCTAAACTGTACAGCAGAATGCAAATTAAGAATGAAATGAATATTTTCTTTTTTCAGTCCTCTGCCCTACCAGTGTTACCTCCTGATGCATTGGCATCTCATACTGGAAATTTTATCATTGATATTTGAAAAAATTAGGATATTAGCAATATCTGAACAACAGCCAGACTCTGGATTTTTCAGATGGTCTTATCTAAATTTAGCCCTCTTTCTTCCTCCCATTGAAAAACCCCAACAACTAAGAGCTTAGAAAATTTGATCTCGGATGCTTGCAGTGCAATGGTCTTATTTCCTTATGAGCGGTGGGAGCGTGGGCAGAGTGGTGCTGGGGCGGGCGGGTGGTGGAGGAGCGGCAGAGGAGCCTGGCGGGGCGCCAGGGGAGTGCATGGGAAGCTGACACGGGTGGGGGAAAGGAATGGAGAGCGGGTTTGGCAGCCACTCAAGGACAGTCATTTCGCGCAGATAATGTTAGTAGTAGATGATTGCATTTCTTTCTTTATAAATAAAATGTTTGTAAGCATATAGAATTAAATTTGAAAGTAGTATCTTAGTTAACTGCAATATAATTTAAATTGCCTAGAGGAAAAGCTCCCTTGATTGTTTTCCTGTTCATACTTTTTTTTTTTCTTATAGGGGATTGAATGGACTCATATTGAGTATTTCAACAATGCTATAATTTGTGACCTAATAGAAAATGTAAGTTATATTCAAGAACGTCTCTGAATAATTTTTTAGTGCATGGATTGAATTTAGCTGTAAAGGCTGTACGTATCCTCTCACACTTGGATTTTATAAAACAAGCCACTCATTGTAACAGTCATCTTACTTTGTATAGTAAAAGTTTATTTTACCAAAAAAAAATTTTTTTATAAGGCTATATGTTACTTTGTTAGAAATGTTCAGCAGCACCTATGCAGAAAAAAAACTCAAAAAACCCCAAAACTAAACAACCCTTAAATGTATACATTTAGTGTGGTTTTCAATAGCAGATATCACATGCTGCATTGTAAATAACACTTCTTTTTATATGGAAACTAGAAAACTCAATGACTTGTTACTGAGTGCTTTAGGTATAGAAAGTACTTGTATCTAATAAGAGGACTTCCCATGGACTTAGCACAGCAAGAAAGATAAAATTCCTTAACAATCGGAAAAGAACAGTTTTTAACCATTAACATAAACCGTATGCTGGTTTTACCCATAAACTGGCTACTTTCCGTTAAGTTGGAGTTTCTACAGTCTGAGTAAATGACACAAAATTCCAACATGAAGTTCAAGATTCAGATCTCTGAAGCAGTCTTTCAAAAACACAGATACCAAAAATCTGTTGGAAATGGGGATGAGGAAAAGAACCAAACATTGAGATGGCTTGAAGAACATTTTTTCTGGGTAGCAGAAGTCAAACAGGAGAGAGCGGTCTCCCTTTTATGCTGTGATGGAAATGTGATGGCAACCAACACTAAAGCTCTTGTCTTGAAACTTCAGAACCAAACTGGAATCCTGGCCATGCTAGACGAAGAATGCCTGAGACCAGGAACTGTTACTGATGACACCTTTTTAGAAAAACTGAACCAAGTCTGTGCCACTCACCAGCATTTTGAGAGCAGGATGAGCAAGTGCTCTCGGTTCCTCAATGACACCTCCTTGCCTCACAGCTGCTTCAGGATTCAGCATTACGCTGGCAAGGTACCTTGTGAAGCGGCGAGTACGCGGTGTTTGGAGGGTGTTGTACCTGTGCGAAGCCTAGGTTTGGTACAATGGCGAGCCTCTTCGTCCATTAAATGATGTTACAGTAATGAAGGAGAATTGCTTGAATCAATAGTTGATCGAAAAATCCAGACCTGTCTTAATCTTTTCCATCTTAAGCATAAGATGCATGGTTTGGGCTGGAAGGTTTTCAGAGATCATGCTGCTCTAGTTGAAATCAAGGGCAAGTACTTCTTTCAGCAAAGGAGAAAGATGTCCCACGTGCTTTGGTGGTGAACTGCTTGTGCTGCTAGGTCTCTGGAAATAAAAATGTTGTTTAGAATGACAAAAATTCACACACATCTGAAGGCAAGATATTTTGGAAAAACATATTCTTTGTCACTGAACTAGCTGAAGTCCTTAGTCATGTTGATGAGAAAGTGGAGTTTTTGTACATTTGAAGGAACTGAGTTTATTTTGACAGCCTGTGTACTTAAACAGATGGAAGAGAAAGCTATACAGAGGGCTTGCAAATGTATTTGCTTTTTACAACATAAGCAGTATGAATAAATACAAGTCTGATAGTTTTTGATGTACAATTCAGTATGACCTTTTACTAATGAAAATCAAAATAATTAAATTTGTAAAAAAAAAAGACAACTTATTTTTAAAACAAAAGTAAGCATAGGGATTGAAACTATACCTCTTATTTGAATCTGCTGAACTGTTAGTTTCACAGAGTAACGAATATTTGGGAAGTGTTTAATTTTGCTAGCACTGTTTAATACTTCCCTATTTTTTAATATTTTCTCAATCTTACAATTTTGAGTAGCTCAATAATGTGCTCATTCAGAATAGTGCTGGAAATGTCATACTTTCAGCCTTTGATGCAGCCATTCATTAACTTTACGTTACGTATTTGCTAAGACTATTTTGTAATTGCATATAATCTATCAGGGATTAATACTTAGATACTTCTTTGGTTGTCTAAATTCAAAGTGAATTGAAAATACTCCAGTGCTTTGAGAAGGACTGCAAACAGACTGTGTCTTAGCAGGCAGTGAGGGTCTTCAATTGTTATTGGCATTCACTTACCCACTGAGAAGTCAGTGAATTTCTCCTATTTTGGGAGGAATGTTGTCTTTCCGTACTCAGCTGAGAACATTTTGATCTAGTCACTGGAGAACAAAAGTTTGATGCTCCTTTTATGAAATATAAGCAAGTTCATATGAACAGTTTTTTTCAGTAGTGGCATTTACCACACCTGTCGGAAACAGAAATGTGTACTCCAAAGAAGAATGCTGCCTGAGTTCCCAGTCACTTGCTGTTGTGTAAAATATGGCTATGTCAGTATTAGTTTTATTCGGTATTCTGTGTACATAGTACATATCTACATAGAACTGAGAAATCACGAAGCTGAAGAATCTCTGTTACCAGCCAGATGATTTGTCACAATTAATCAAACTAAATTCCCTACCCTCAAAAATTAAAAAAGCCAGTAGCAATCTGAGATCTACATGAAGTTCCCCTGGACGCCTCCTGAGTCTCCAGCTGCAGGTCCGAGCTTTGCATTCATGCTTGTTGTCATTGGACTGTTTTCCTGGTAAAAGTCCTTTAAAATAACAGTCCCCTGAGGAGTGCACAGATAGCTGCTTGCTGCTGCCATATCAAGAGGTGATATTTCATATCTTGTTTTAGTTAGGCAAATAATGTAAGCATTAGTACTTTGAAGGGAAAGGGTATTTTTGGTGTTGTGATTAAAAGAGAGGGAGAAAACCTTTTTGTCAGCCAGAAAAAGATTATTTTGAAGTATTGGCAAGTGGTGTTGTGTCAGAGTTATCACAGAAGAAGGGTTTTTTCCATTTCAGAAACCAGAATTGATCAGCACAAGGAACTGTTAGCAGTGTGAGAAAATGCATCTTTCTCAGGAAGCATGTTAACAGAAATTTTATCCAACAAAAAGTCTTACAAATGTCAAATTTAAAATGAAAGCTGAAATGTCTTTCATTTGTTTTGGATAGTGAGAAAGAAGGAGAAATCAATTTCTTGGTTCAGTTTTGAACTGGCCTATGTTATAGTTCAAAACATGCTCTGATGAGACTCTTTTGTATTGTTCAGGTTATGTACCAGGTGGAAGGATTTGTTGACAAAAATAATGATCTTCTGTACCGTGACCTCTCTCAGGCCATGTGGAAGGCCAGTCACTCTCTTATCAAAGCATTGTTCCCTGAAGGTAACCCCGCTAAGATCAATCTAAAGCGACCACCGACGGCAGGTTCACAGTTCAAGGCTTCAGTTGCTACCCTGATGAAAAATCTTCAGACAAAAAATCCAAACTACATTAGGTAAATTACCCTGTGGCAAAGCTTTGCTGAATTTATGTTTGGTGAAGTTAAAAAAAAAAAATAAAAACAACTTGGTATCTAAGGATAAATTATTGAAATCTATGGTTTAAACTCACAATAACAGTTGTTGACACGTACAGTGCTGCAAATGAGTGTCCCTGTTCATTTCTCTTTCCAGGTGCATCAAACCCAATGACAAAAAGGCTGCACACATTTTCAATGATGCCCTGGTGTGCCACCAGATCCGCTACCTCGGTCTTCTGGAGAACGTCCGGGTCAGAAGGGCAGGTTATGCATTCAGGCAGGCGTATGAGCCTTGCCTGGAAAGGTACAAAATGCTGTGTAAGCAGACGTGGCCCCACTGGAGAGGGCCAGCCAGGTAGGAAAACATCAGTATTCTTACCTGTCCTGTTCCAATGATTGAAATTATTATCTTCCACATGTTCTGATTTTTTTTTTTTTTAATTTAATGAACTTTCAAGTATTTTAAAAGTAAATTAAAAACTAAGCCAGTGTGACTCAAGTATTTTACTTGTAAGTTGTTCCTTAGCATCTTGTTCCAGATTTTGGATGAGTTCATTCACTGGGAAACCTATACTTTTCAGTAGTCTAAAAATTACAGATCCTTGGCAAAGGAGATGATTTTAGTGATGAACTAATCTACTGATGGAAAAGATTTTGCATGTGAGCAAGGAGAGCACGTTGTTTTTACAATATATTGGGCCTGAAAGAAAATGGGGGGAGAGAGCAATACTGGAGTGGAATGAAAATGACAAGGAGGTCTGGAATGATCAGGAGGACGCTTATCTTTAATAACCAACTTTCAAAGTGTAGGAACACCCGTTTCTTTGAAGACAGTCATGCAATCTTTCTCTGTCCTTTCAAGAATAATTTTACATAATGATTAGTGAACAACTATGAGATAATACCTCTTGCAGGTCAATTGTGTTAAATACATGATTTTAAATTGCATAGTATTCGTATGTGTTTTTACAGATGATGTCTTGAGTAAACGAATGAGCTTCTTAATTCTTTTTACATGTGGCCACCAATAGCGTGATTTAAATTTATTTCATAATAGATTAATATCTTTAGCTACAATTTAAATCTTTAGGTTATCACGATAACAGTGGAAGTGCAGTATCGATAACAATAGCATTGTTACAATCCTCACAAAGTTCTGTGCAATTCCTCTCTTTTCTTTTTTGTTGACATTTATAAAATGCGGTTGGCAGAGTATGGAACATTAGCATTTGTCAAACTTGTCAGTCTTTTGTTTCACGTTTTGACGTTACTGTGAGAGCCCTTCCTTTTTTCTTTCTTTTTTTTTTTTTTTTTAAAGTAAAATCATTATAGATGTAAGAGGAAAAATAGGCCATTGCTGCTGCAGATAAATAAAAATTGCTCTTTTTTTCATCGAATTATTCTGAATCTTTACAGTGATTATTCTTGCCTTTAGCTAAATAACCAGTGAGTAAATGAGTTAGGTTTTCAATCTTCTTATGTCAAGCACTATTTAAAAATTTAAAATATGCTTGCGTATACTTTCCATGAATTAATCTGTGAATATGTAAACTAAGAAGTTTTAGAGCTGGAGGTCATGTTTGTTAAGCTCATTTGCTTCTTATTAGGGCTGGAGTACAGGTTCTGTTTAATGAATTGGAAATCCCTGAAGAAGAATTTTCATTTGGTAGATCAAAGATATTCATCCGCAACCCAAGAACGGTAAGTGAAAAATGTCTTTCCCTGCAAAATCAAGCCATCTTTCATGAGGACAGCCTGTTATGAACTGCATAATTCACTAGCAGGTTACTACAGATTTTTCTAGATACAGTGCTTTGATATATTGCTGTGGAATATAGCATTAAAAAAGGCACTTTTTAATGTTAGACCCATTAAAATTGGTGTGAATCAAGACTCTACAATAGCTGTCAGCCTGAATTTAATGTGACTTTCATGCACTGACTTGTGGCAATGCATCTGCCACAAACCCTGTTGATGTATCTGCCTACAGCTCTGAAGATGAATAAACCAAAAGGTGTCTGAAGGGGGACTTGAATAAAGGAGAGATTTCTCTTACAATAGCTGTTCTTATGGTTTTTTTTGTCTTTTCTCCCCTACTGTTCTTCTTCCAACATCAAACAAAACCCTAAAAAACCTCACACCCAGCTCTTCAAACTAGAAGATCTGAGAAAGCAGCGGCTGGAAGACTTGGCTACTCTAATTGAGAAGATTTATAGAGGTTGGAAGTGCCGCACACGCTTCTTGTTAATGAAAAAAAGCCAGATTGTCATTGCTTCCTGGTACAGGAGATATGCAGTAAGATAATAGCCTTACTAAATGGGGGGTTCTTTTTATTGTGTATTATGTTTTTTCATATAACCTTGGTATGATATTTCATATAACCCTCATATGATATTTTTCCTTGATATGTATGGAGAAGTGTTGAAAGAATTCAATTTTACGTTAGTATTTAAGTACCAAAAATGTGACTAAAAGAAAATTTAGTTTCTAGAGACCTCTATTAAGTATTTAGTTTGTGCTTGTGCTTAAATAATTAAAAAGATCACCAGAGTCCTTTAGCTCTGGGAGAGCAGGATTTTGTGGCCCAGCTGGGAAGAGTCTTTTCTATTCAGCTAAAATGCTGTGCTGCCTAGCACTTAAAGTGCTCTCAAAACATATGGTTAATGTGTAAAAAATGTTCAGTAGTATATGTGTGCAATTCTGTGGATTTCAGTCATTCCTAAGGCTTTTTGTAGTTTTGCCTTATTTGGAACCTTTGCATTTAAGGCTCAAGAATGCTGCTTGGGAGGATCCCAGGGAGTTATTTTAATTATAGCTCAAAAGGCTCGTAGTTCAGTAGTTGTTACTGATACAGTTCTAAAACAGTTTCAAATCTGTTTCTAGACCGGGTATTCTGAACGGTACTGTTATATGACTCTCTCATGTCTTTTTGTCAGTTAGTAAATAACATTGGCTTACGTGATAAAAAAAGATTTACTGTTTTTAAGTTTTAAAACAATTCTTAAACCTCTCAGCTGCATTTTGTTATTGTGTGCATATCGAGAAGCTTGATAAAATATATGATACGGAAAGAAAGTATCTTCTTAAGCTGCAAGTTGCAGAATCGGCAATCACTGTTTTTCAGTTGATGAGTACTTTTGTTTATCATCTTGAAAGCCGTTAATGTTTGGTTCAGTTATCTTGGATAAATAGAGAAAAGTATCAATAATTCAGAAAAAGTATGAATAAATGCTTTTTCTCTGTAAAAACATGATGATCTCATACAATCTTAATGAATTAAAAATGGAGTTACCACAGCTAGATTGGCACAACTTTATATTTAATGAAATGAAAACAAATATGTGACCGAGTTTACATCATCGTTGATTTTCTTAACTGTAGACCTTTATGGTTCACTGGTGAAACATGGCAGCAATTGTCTTTGAATGCAGGATGAAGTCATAGCAATACCCTCAGAATTACTTACGGGTGATGACAGCGATATTTCCTCAGCCTCTTCATGGAGATGGAGTGCACCATTCTCCTAACCCAACATGACTGTTAGGCGCTGTGTTTTGGAAGGTTTCCTAAGGAATCCCTTGCATGAACAAAGCTTTTTGATACCTCCTTGGGCTGGAGGCTTGGCTAAAGGATCTGCAGACACTTGCCTGTCTGTTCCCTTGCAAGGCATGACAGACGTCAGTCATGGCATGAATGTGGCCTAGAGGGGAGTCTTTCTAGCTTGGCCACAGAGATGTTCACTGTAATTGAGTGGACTGACTGTGAAGTCTAAAAGCCTTTTTGCAAAGTCTGTCAACTGTTGTTCACTTAGTATAATGCTAACTGGAGAACTGAGCTTTTTAGAAGGAAAATGCTTGGCTGTCCAGGAAATTTATTGTTCGAACTGGCATACTTGGATAATATTCCAGCATGTCATTCAGGAACCCATGGGTTTTCTTTTTTCCTGTTCCTAAGTTATCATCAGCATTTGGTATTATAAAGGGACTGTGGGTAATAGGAACAGCACAAGTCTTACGAAAAGACAGCAAAAAGCTTAGCCAACAAACCTGAGCATTTGTGATGGTTTGTATGCTACTCTGGTGGTGGGAAAGAGAAATAAAGCTGTTACTGTTAGTATTTACTCCATGTCACTTTTGTGCTGCTGACCATGAACTTAGTGTTTCTGTAAACAGAGAGTGACATTGTCCATGCAGCAGTGTTGATGTGCTTTGTTTCCCCTCGAGTTGAACAGAGAATCTACGCTCTGTTCTGCTTGGTCAAAAATAGTTCACTTTTTACATTTAGTGCTTGCATCCTTAATCATATTTTCAAATGTTAGTAATGAAAGTTTTATTGTACAATATTTTACAATTGCAATATTCTGTTCTAAGCACCACATATTTGTTTCCAATACAGCAACAAAAAAAGTATCAGAAGATAAAGAGTTCGGCTATTATCGTACAGTCTTACATCAGAGGATGGAAGGTGAGTTTCCTGTTACTGCGGCTATGCCTGCATGGTGAGGTAAGGAGCAGGTCAGAAAACACATGCCTTCTGTCCACTGAGCTGTGGCTGTGCCGTAGCCATGGTGTTTGCCATAGAAGAGGCGAGTTTGGGATATCTGCTTGTGGCCTGGGATCTAAATCCCTGCAGGTGGTGTGAGTGGAAGGCTGGGACCACACTAAACTACTGGGTTATCCTTGGGGTGTCTTCTGCCAGAGAATTTGGAGAGAGGTGCCCTCTTTACATGGGCTTCAGGACTGGAGTGTGAATGCGTGAATCCGGTGTTCAGAGCAGATCTAGGTACACGCTAACCAGGCAGGCCAGCAGCTCCAGAGCGGGATGGTCCGGGGCTCTGCCACTGGGCTTATGAAAACTGTAACGTTGGACTGATTTGGAAGAAATATGTTGTGGTTGGTGGTTATTTTATGGTTAACAGGGTTGTCAAAGAATGAACAAAATTGAAAGCAGGCTTAAAATAAAGAGTTTGGGTGCCCTAGGCAGTATGTTACTTGGGTTGTCTTCAGTTCTCCTCTGTGTGCTAAGCAAAGGGGTGAAAGTGTGCTGTGCTCAACTTGGATTGAGCAAGTACTTTATCACTGTTTGCTTGCCCTCTACCTCAATTTGGTACAATTTTGCTTCTTCTCTGAGAGGTTTGTACTTTGTGAAGGGATAATCCTGCAGCCATAGTAGAGACTTAAGGAATGATGCTGTAATAACAGATAAAAATAAAGTTAACAGCTTACATGAAAGCAGCCACAGTGCTTAAAGCAACTACTTCTGTCCAGCTTCAGAAAAAATGTCCCTGGGCTCCTCTGTTTTCTTATTAACCTTTCTCCACCCCACTAAATGTGGCTTTCTCCTCTCTTTAGGGAAGAGAGAACTGCCTTTAATTCAGGAGTCAGTTCCCTTCCTGTCAGAAAGGGAAGGAAGGGGCTGCAGTTACTAGGTATAGTTATAAACAGCCCTCTTCTGCCCAGAAGGTTTTAAAGTTTGCCAGCACTAAGCTACCGTAATTTGATTTTGCTATTTTTCTTGATTTTTACTTTGTCTTTATTATTCTGTTTAAATGAGTTAAAAATATCCTTTCAGTCTAACTATTGACGTGCTGTCTTTTCCCATGAGCATTATTGGAAGAAAATTGGGTAAAAGCATCATCTCGGGTTATGGTTTTCCATTTGTCATTGGAGAACACGCTCTTTTGTGGTAGCACTGCCGTGGATAAAAGCCTGGTATGACAGCAACCTTAAGTGTGACCTAAAGCCAGGCAGTTTACTTGTGATTTATTCTTTATTGCAGTCTAAATGGATAAGACATATACTGTGTGGAGGAAAAGTATTATTGCCATTGTACAGACAGAGCTATAGATATCTCAGGTGATGCAACAAATCTGGGAGACAACTAAACATTGAACTAAGATCCCCTTGAACCACCAGTCCCAAGCTGTCACTTTTGCACAGAACCCTGCCTGGAACAGCGAATGTTAGGCTGCGTAGCATTAATTTATTTGCTTGGGGACTTGGAGGCATTGTGTTTTGGTTTTGCCCAGGTTTAGAGCTTGCAGTGCCTTAGTTTAAAATCATTAAGAAATTATATTTATTTATTTATTTGAATAAAATAATGTTTTCAATTGTTCGCAGGCTCGGAAACTTCTTCGGGAACTTAAGCATCAGAAGCGTTGTAATGAGGCTGCCACAATAATTGCTGCTTATTGGCATGGTACCCAGGTAAGAAAATGGCAACAAATTGTGGACTTAATTGTCTCTACATAGAATGAAGAAGGCCCTTCAGATAAAGTTATCTGGGAATATTTTCAGTGGCTTAAACTACTGATTTTTATGTTTCTCTTTGCTGCTAACATGTTTTAGCTGGTGCAATCTGGGAAGCTGGGACATGCTTTAATATTTGCTCTTTGTAGCGAATGGTTTCTTTCTTTCTTTCTTGCACCATTGTGAACTTGCAGTAACCTTTTCTTTCCTAAGCTTTTCTATATCCCATTTTCAAATGCATCACAGGCGCGAAGGGAACTGAGACGACTGAAGGAGGAGGCTAGAAATAAACATGCTATTGCTGTTATTTGGGCTTACTGGCTTGGATATAAGGTACTTCATGCACATATCACATGCCCCCCTTCATTACCCAACAACATCAACATTTAATCAGTAGTAAATAGTGAGAATTAATGACTAATACAATTGACTTAATATATAGTAATAGAGCATGATCATTGATTCCCTCCATTACCATTCATGCCACACTTAATAAATCTGGCAACATTCTGTATGTCAGGTTTTTGTAGAGTAGGAAATTCTTTGCATGGCAGCCAAGTAGTGATTTGCACTAACAAGCCATTAGACTAGATTAAAAATGACTAGACTACAGTATTCTCAAATTAGGAAATGCATTTAACTACATGTGAATATGCAAAGCATGGTTTGTGAGGGGAGAAACGGTTGGGTTTTTTTTGGTGTGTTATTTTTTCGCCCCCTAACAAGTGCTTTCAGTGACACTGTATTAGTGATCCAATTGAGATTTTCACCAGGCCATATGTTCTGCACTCTGGACAGTCTTCATTTACAAGCTCAAAGCAACGCTATGAAGTTTTATTAAGTTTTAGTTTTAATTGGTTTAATTGATTCTCTGGCTGTCATTTGAACCAGTAAGAAAATTTCAGTAAGTACAAGTAAAGCACGGTTTTATGACCTGAACTTTTAGCAGAAAATGATGTTAGTTTGCAATTCTAAACTTACAGCCCTAGAAAAATCCCAGGAATTCCAGCATCAGCTGTTTGTTTTCAGAAGCAAAGTCCCACTGAAAGATTCTTGCTAATCCCCAGCCTGCAGTTGTGGGTTATGTGAACATTTGAAATGCTGTTCACCAGAGGCCAAAAATTTATTGGTTTCAATTAATAAGTTCGTAGCTTAGTTGAAAACCATATTCAGTAAATATATTAAGTTTAAAACATCTTCCAGTTATTATAAAGGTTGGAGGGGTGGTGAGGGAGTGTTGTCAGAACACCTTGCCAACTAGATGGAGAAATGTGCTCAAATTACATCTGGAGTATAATGCTAAGTTTGGCCCTTGCTATTTTGATATAAATGTATTAGATTTCTAATGAAATGGCAGCCTTGGGAATCCAAACAAACATGTACAGAATTTCCCTCATACTAGAGAGACTTTGCATCTTTTTAGTTCTAGCTTGATATTTAGGTAACTATGTAGTTTGACAGACACACTGCTTCCTCTGCATTTATTTAAATGCAATACATTGATAATTTATTTTGTTTTTAACCAGAGTTCCTTTCACTAAAAAAATTGCTCAGTACTGCAGAAGTGATATTTACTCTCCTAGGTTTAAGATGTTCTTTTGAATTAAAAAGGACACATCCAGCAAGCAATGCAATAGTGTTAACTGTGTTAGAGCTCCTCGTTTAAATATTTAGTAGATTTGGATAGTTTTTAACTTGTTTTGGTAGTTATTTTTATCAATTGGCTCACAGGAATTTCATAAAAAATCGCCTCCTTATTCCTTAAATATAAATAATCTAAAAATATATATCTCTAAAGATGATAATCTAAATTGAATTAAGATTAGAAAAAGAATTACAGTATCTGATAAAAGATAAAACTTGTTATTGGTGTGATGTTTTATCTTTTCCCAGGGGAATATTTAAAGCAAAATTTCTGAAAGTTATCTTCAGAGATCACTTGCTTTAGCACACACTAAAAAAAAAAGCGCTATAGAACTCAAGTACTCCAGTTTCCTTCCTTTTCACAAGACAGACAAATACTTTTTGCTTTGCAGAGCTCTTGTTTTTACAGTGCTGTATAGTAGGGGCTTTTGTTCCAAGCAGATGAGTGAAAACATACTCTTTATGAGAGCCTATGTCTAACACAAATTAACATTTCTAGCTACATCAGAAAAGTGTAACTGGCGCAGGCTGGAACTGCTGTTGCACAAGTCTGTTTGACAACTTGACAACTTCAGATAGATGGCTAGAGCTGCTGTGACTGATCCTATAATACTGGAAGTCTTGATTTTGCTTGAGTGTTATCATCATATAACTGAATAGCAAATGTACTGGTATCTCCTAAAATGTTAGATTCTGTTAAGTTGCCCACACATGCCTTTGTGTTTAGAATACTTTGCAAATTGCTTTCCAAAAATGGGAATGATTGATTAAATGTAAGTAGGTGCCTATCTCTTTGTACATGAGGAAGGCACTATGTTTGGGGTGTTCACCTCTTCATTCCATACAGACAGACATAATTTACTAGGCTGGAGAATTTTTTTTTTAAAGTACATAAAGATCAAAATAAAAAATAACCTCCAGAATAAAAGCCCTCAATATAGTGCCAGTAATGCATCATTATGTACGTAATTTCAGAGTTGATTCTGTTCTGCCCAGGCACTTGCCAGTGGAAGAAGTGACTAGATAGAGAGATTTTAGTAAGTCTTGATTTTCATACACACCATTTTGATCATGCAACTGCAGGCAAAGTTCTCCATTAGAATCAAGTTACGAGGTACTTACCACTGATTGCGAGGTGTGCACGGAAGAGAAGATGGAAACACTGGTAGCAAATAATGGGGCTGACAAAATCCTTATCTGTACGTGCCACTTAAGCAGCAGTGGAGGCTTTTTTGACCTCCTGTCTGGCTTCACAGCAATTCCCACTGACACACGTTGGGTTTTAAAGGTTAAACGCTGTTCTTCCATCTTTCTGTATCTTGATTGTAAGTTGGCTGTTCTGTTTGGGAGAAGCCTTTTCCTGGTCGTTGTGCTATCTGCATCGGGCTGTCTCTTTTGTTCACTATCTAAACCTTTTAGGCTCGAAGGGAATTGAAACGCTTGAAGGAGGAGGCTAGGCGTAAGCATGCTGTTGCAGTCATTTGGGCTTACTGGCTTGGACTGAAGGTACTTTCTCAAACACTCCTGTCTGTCAACATGAACTCAATAAAGCGTGGCATCTTACTAACACTTAATAAACAAGCCGTTATGTGGGCTAACTAGCAGGGATGATTTTTACACAGAATTACATTGCTTAATTTTGTCCATGGACTTTACTGAAAAATTCATGAGCTGAAAATGCCTCATTTACAGCAATATTTAGGCATCAGGTGTTTTTTGTCAAAACAGGAATTTCAGTTTTCAAGCAAAAGACAAATGTCAGATTAAAGGGACTCTATTACGATTATTGACTTAAAAACCTGACCTACGTTGGCAAAGATCCTATCCAGAAAGATTACAAGGATGTATTTTCTTATTGTGACCTCTGCTTGATTGAATGGGAAGTAGGGTGGAGCTGTCTGACTCTCAATGCTGCTCACGTTAGACCCCTGACCCCAGTGTCGAGGGCATGGTGTCAAGCTAATGATAATGTCCTGTTGCTTCCATCAGCCTTTTTAGGGCATGGCATTGTGTGCAGCTACTTATGGCTTGTGGTAGCCATGAATTCCCAGAAAAAATTGAGATGTACAAGAGTCTCTTGTTTTCTGTCCCTTGCTTTCCAAGGACTGGTTGGCAAAAGAAGACACACTTGTAATCTGGAAAAATGTAGTTCTGCTCTGTAAATAGACTATGAAAATGGCATCTTGAGATGTTTCAGGTCTGGCATCTTGAGATGTTTCAGGTCTGTGCCCAAACGATTTACATAATAGTGTTCAAACATAGTTTTACAGATGCAGTCCTGAAGAACTGCGGAAATCTAAATCAGTTTTGTTTGGCGGGGTGTCACGTTTGCTAATAGGGATATTGTAGAATACAGAAGTATAAAAGGAAACAGTTTACTTGATAATGCAAAGTCCAGCTCTTGTATTCTCATACTTATTCTAACAATGATGAAATGGGAAAAATAGTTACAAAACGTATAATTGTATATAATATATGTATATTATGTATATAAAAATATCCATTACAATACCTGCATGGAAACCAGAGCTGGAAATACAAAGGAGCCATTTTAAGAAGTCATTCTGCAGATCAGAATCACACTTGAGGTACTTGAGACCCACTGCCAAAGTTGGTCTGTTTTTATGATTTTAAAACAAGAATATGTCCCTCCTGAGAACTCAGGAGCTGTTTTATATCAAACAGCGGCATTTAAATGAAAGCTGATGAATCCAAAACCTTTAAGGCACATTAGAGCAGAAATATGTTTCTGCCTTTCTGTGGTGTGGTTTTTCGATGTATTTTTTAAATAGTGTAAGCAGCACTTCTATCTTACCTGAAACATGCAGATTTTTCTGAACAAGAACATAGTCTGCAGTTCCAATATACCACTGTTACCACAGGCAGTTCTCATTTGTCTGATGGCAAAGTATTTTCACCCATGGCATACAGAGGTGAAGATTTAAAGTTGATACAAGTGATCAAGATTAAACCATTAATTCTTGAGTCTTTTTTTTTTTTTTTTTTAATTGTATGATAAGTAGATTTTAATAGCATTTGCGGTACTTCCAGATTTAGGCTTTTCTGGAATGGCTTGCATTTCTCAGTGCTTGCTTTGCAGCTTCCCTGCAGCGCCAATAGGATGTGTGGGTGTATATTAGTCCCTTTGTTCCAAATTAATTTGCACACCTTGCAGCTCACAAAGAATAATATAAACCAACATCATTAAAGAGAGTCTATGAGAACATGGTGAGATTTGGGATGATGGTGGTTGGAGTGGCTTTGAGTGTGTTAATTTCCATCCCTGAATAATAAATAAATTATATACACTAATTATAGAGCACTAAACCTTAGAGAAAATCAGTGAATAAGAACTCTAATAATTTTTTTTATAAAGTGAGGGGGGAAAAAACTATGTGCTGTATTTGCATAGAATGAAGACAGCTGAATGCTGTCAGTTTTGTTGATGCATCTTAATGTGTAATTAAGCAAAACCTATTTATCTATGGGGTTTTTTTAAATCCCAGAATGGTGACAGATTCTTACTTTAAAAATGCTGGCTTATCTTAAAATGCATGACACTCAGTGTGGGGCAGAAGGTGTGCCAGGGTAAGCCAAGCAAACTTTTTCTTCTAAGTTGATGTGGGTTTTGCCTCTATGGGTTTCCCTTTATTTTCTGGTTACAGTGAACTCAGCAACACATAGCAAGTTAGCTAAAACCACTAAATTTGCTCTGGGGTAAATTATGCAAAGCCACGATGTTTTCCCTGGGTTTTGCTCAAAACTTTTAACAGGTGTGTTGCAGGCTATGCCAAAGTTTGGGGAGAAAAAAAACCAAACAACCTAGGGGATGTTTCAGCTAACTTGACGTGAGCCTGGGCTTCTCATAAAAACTGCAAACCGGTTGTGCTTTCTCTCAGATTGGGTTTTCTGAGGGGGGGAATTTAGATACTATGCTAATTAGCCCTGATAGAAATACCAAGGGCGAAACAAGTACTCTGAAACTTGCATTTACAAGCATGTATAAAAAATAAGTATCACCTGCAAAAATGGTTTTCAGCGATCACTTTTTTTTTTTTTTTGTAATAAATTTTAGGAGCAAATATCAAGCTTGCTGATATTAAGCAACCTTTGTGTTGATTCGCTGCTCTCATCAAGCACCAAAACCTTATTTTCCTTTTGGAATGAAGACTGCTTGTGTGAAAAGAGTTTTTTCATGCATAAGTCTGCTCTGGGAAAAAAATCCCTTTTTTATTATAGAAAACTCTGTGTATTAAGAATCTTAAATGAGAAGAACAGAAACAGTTCATCAGTTAACTGTGTAATTAACATCAGTGTCACTTCAGACACAATAAAATATGTATCACTGATGATATCTCACTTTTTCCAGTCCAGCTTTATGCAAAAGCCTATGAAAAGAGATTCATGCTGTGAATTCAACAATATTTGAGTAGCTTGCCTTTCCAGAGGAAAGTATTTCAAATTCTATGTTAAATTTGCAACTTACTATATTCAGGTCATCCGAGGTAGCTTTCTGACCTCTTGGTCCATGGTCTGCTTCATATATTTTCAAGTGTACCCAGTTAGTGTTCCTGTTTCAGGGAACACTTTGCATGTTTGTATGCTTTTTTAGTATTTTCTGCCATAGAGCTTTATAAAAAAGTACCTGTGCAAACAAATTATGTCTTTGAATTCACTTTGAGGGTTTGTTTAACTTTTCAGGTCCGTAGAGAGTACAGGAAATTCTTCAGAGCCAATGCTGGAAGAAAAATTTATGAATTTACCCTTCAGAGACTTGTATGTATATATCCGTACAAAGCACATGTACATTTTCTGTGTTTTAAATTTTTGTCTTCTAGCAAAAGTAACAGCTATCTTATGGCCTCGATAGTCTTTGTAAGGAAATGTCCAAGCTAAGCATATGGAAAATTGACAACTTAAATATTCTGATGTTGTAAAGAAAGGATAGTGATAGTGTTTTGAAGGTGTGGGAATGGCACTAACTAAGCATTTGCCTCACTTGTATGATATCTGAATCTGCATTTCTCAATGTACCTGGCTTTTTAAATCCATATTCAGGTTTATGAAAGCTGCGAGTTGCCGTTTGGTAACTGCTTTTAATCACAGAGCATCTGCTTTTCCTTGCTTATTTCAATAACTCTGGTATTTGAACATTAATAAAACATCTTGCTTCAATTTTATCACAGATGCAAAAATACTTCCTGGAAATGAAGAATAAGATGCCTTCTTTATCACCAATAGACAAAAACTGGCCAGCGAGACCTTACCTTTTCTTGGATTCAACTCACAAGGAACTAAAGAGGATTTTCCATTTGTGGAGGGTAGGGCACATTGTGGTTCAGTCTATACAGAACTTCATCACATGATTTTCAATAGTTTTGTGTTGCTCATGAAGAGCCTATTTTTAGGTTGTATTTCTTCCCGTTCCAGACAGGATATTTTATTTCTTTGGAAGAAGTGTGTCTTTTGATCATTGTCTTTGGCCTGCAAGGGGTATAACTATCCTGCCTACTCCTTTTTGGGGCTAGGGAGAGAGGATTGCTTCCTGCCATCAGCTTTTAACTTAATAGTCAAGCAGTAAGCCTGCTGCCTGTTAATTGGTAGCTTGTAATACTTGTGTCCATGGCCAGGACTGGGACTGGCTTAGACCAACATTGGAAGTATCGGGTGGAATTTTTTACTTACGCACTGTGGTTAGCTGAAATTTGTTTTGCATCTTTGGATGGAGAGAACAGCGAGAATCTGTATAAGTGCTGATGAGACATTTTACTGATCTTGTGGGCTATGGTTTCTGTGAATTGTCAAGGAACAGTTTTTCTTTCTGCAAAATTCATCCTCTCAGCTATGTTTTGTTCTTTCTGTCTGTTTACATAAACTTCCACAATCATGGAACTATATATGTTTCTGTGGACCTTTTTAGCCCAGTCTTCCAGTGATGGGTATCTGACAGATTAAGCTCGTGTTCAAATTCAGCATGCTTAAATGATATGTTTTAGAGATTATTTTTGCTGTAATTCAGAAGGATCTAGAATGGCTGAGGAGAAAAACACCTCTGCTGTTTGTTACTGTGCTACAGTGGCATGTAGGATGGAGCTGAGTCACTTCAGAAGTATACAAAGAATGTGCATCTTGAGCAATAAGCAACCATTAGTCTGTGGTACTGCTGCTTCAACTCAGATTTGGAAGGATAATTTTTTGGTTTGTTTAATATATCGTGTTTTGTAGTGTAAAAAGTACAGAGACCAGTTCACAGATCAACAGAAGCTTATATATGAAGAAAAACTGGAAGCAAGTGAACTTTTCAAGGACAAGAAGGCTTTATATCCAGCCAGGTAATGACTTATTCTGCTGCTTTTAGTGTACAATAAATCCAATATACTTACACAGATTTAGGAAACTAAGCAAGATTTTGCTTTTTATCTTCCACAGGAAAGTGCATTTTCCTTGTCTGACAATGTCCCTCCATCATTTTACTTTACAATCCTGGAAATTGACCTCAGTTTGCTTCTAACTTAGATGTTATACTGAGCATTTCTGTCCAGAAGCCATGATGTTTTGTTGTTCTAACCCCCCATGACCTGTTCACATCGTAAAACTTTGGAGAAGTTGTAGAAAGGAGTAACTCTCACCCTTTCCCCTAGTTTCCATCACGCTGGTTCCTGGAACCAATAAATGTAGAGGGAACTGAAAGGCTCTAAGTGACAATGTCACTCCCAGATGAGGCGTGCCAGGGAGCTCTCCTGTGTTCAAACGTAGGACATTCAGCATAATGCTCTAATGTGAAGACTAGGTAATTTAAGAGTTAGATACGTTGGTAGATACCTTTTTGAAAGGATACTTCAAAAAAAAAAAAAAAGTGCTTAGAAGTTCATTTCCATTTTAGAATCTTCTTTTTTTTTTTTTTTTTTAAATTGGAGACTTTTTAAAAATATGAAATCTCTGCAAATAAGTACTTTGGTTTCTCAGATTATTGAGTTCTTGAAAACTTGTAAATTCTTGTCATTGCTATCTACAGAGCTAACATTACTCCGTTACTCAAAGTGCAATAGTATCTGATTTTACGTAAGGAATGCACTTTTTTTTTTGCATGCAATAAAACTGACAAAATAGAGATCTGATGTCCTTGAAAGAAGTTGAATTGAACTTTTTAAGTGAATATGAGCTTAGAAATTGTGTTTTTCTTGCAAACAAAGGTCTTGTCGATCTCAGGAGAGTTTTCTTTTAGAAGCCATAGTTTGAGCACAGCAGGAGCAAGGCACTGTAAAGCGAGAAGCAAGGCTCAGTGGAGGAAGGAACAGGAATCTGCAAGGGTTGATGAGGGCAGTTCAACGCATGGACAAGCTCTGCTTGGATGTTTGTGTGTTTTATTGGTTTTGTTTTGTTTCATTTTTTATTGAGACATTTCCTTTTTTCCTGTAATGGGCTCAGTATATGTTTCTCTTTCTTCCCTTCAGTAGATTACTTATTTAATGGCTGTATATGTTAGCTTGTGGTTTGTTCCTTATTTGCTTTGGGACGTCTTTTTATGCTGCTGGGAAAAAGAGAAAGATGCTGCCTTTGGACTTTTCTGGAAGCAAGCAGGTTTTTTTGCTTTGAGTCAGTATACTTCTGATCAGTGTAGAGCTCCTTGGGAAGGAAGGAATTTTATTTATATCCCTGGTTTGGTACTTTTTACACCAAGACTGAACAATGAAATATTATACAGCAAAATATATATCTGAATTACTTTTTATCCAAGACATTCTTAAGTGGTATATGTGATAGAGGGTAACTGTTAATTCATTTCAGTTTTAGCTTGTAAGTCATTAGTGTTCGTTTAGGGACAAAGTCCACATGGAATCTACAGTTTTGGTGACTGTGGTTTCATAATGTTAATTAGTAAAAACAAAAAAACCACCAAAGCTCGAACATGGTAGAAAGCTGGAATGCTTTCCCCACCCGGCACTCATTTAGAAACATTTCCATCTCTTTTTGTCTTGTATTCAGAGCTGATTAGCTCCTGTTGTTTTTTGTTTTTTTTTAATTGTCCTAAGGGTGTAGGAAATCACTGTATAAAGTTTCTGATTAGTTAGTATGATAATGATTTATAGGATGTGGCTAATTTTCTGTGTGTAATATAATTATTTAAGAAGAAAGAGGGACTTCTTGTGAGTACTAAAATACCAGTACCCTTCCTTTTCTCTCCCATCTCCCCATGTGCCAGAGATGCAATTACAAAGGTATTGCTATTCCACATAATATGTTGGTTCCTCTTGGGCTCTAGTCTTGGCGAAGCTTTGCATTTAGTACATTGACTGTAATTTAATCAAAGTGGTTAGTTAAAGGGACTTCCAAACAAAGCAAGCAGCAACTGTATTCACCAGTTCTTACCTGATCACGAAGCTGTTACTGTATAACCCTGAGGTGGACAAAGGTGGGGTGATTTGCAAGCGCAACAAGTATTGATGAAGAGCTGGTACACATTCAACACACAGCAGATCTTGAAGGCAAGTTCTTGTCTGTCACTGTGAAATACTGTGGAAGAGCAGAGGTGGCAGTCCTACTGAAGTCTTATTTCCTCTGTTTTCACAGAGACTGCTATTGGGTGATTTTAAATCAAAATTGATTGCATACGCAAGGACGTACTTGTGTCTGATACCCATAGCAATTTGGCCCATTTAATTGGAAAATGTTGCCAGAGCAAGGAAAAAAAAAAAATCCTATTACTGTCTGTGGTGATAAATTTCTTTATTCACCATCACTGTGCTGTTAATGTGTACAAGATTCTGTGTCTAATACACATACCGTTTCTTACCCCTCCTCCTCCTTTCTTCTTTCTTCTGGGATAATGTGCTGGGAGATATATCCACACTACTCTGTAGCAATTCCCGAGTTATTTTCAGCTGATGTAGTATGCCTGCACAGCACAGATTGATGCCAACACCACTGCACTGAGCGAACGGTGGCACCGACCTGAAAACTCTTGGCGCAGAGATTGGGGGGCTGCAGCTTTCGGCTTCTCAGCAGGATTAAGGACAATTGTGCTGCATAAACAAACACCATGCTAAGAGCTCTGTTTGCGTTCAATTATGTATTGCTCTAATTATTCTGTTACACAATTGCAAATTATTTTGCATTGCTGTTGTTTAAAACAGGTAGAAATTGTGAGTAGAGGTTTCTGGGTTGATCAGAGCATTCTTTCGCTAAAAATCAAAGTTTATCAAAGTTTAAGGAAGCTTCTGGTAGTGTAGAGTCATTGAAAATGATATTTGGTGCATCTCCTGGCTCCACGAAGTCTGAAGCAGAACGTGATGGTTTCAGGAGGTTTACTTCTTCCCTGCGATTCATATTTAACTCGTGTCTCTCTTTTTGTTGGGCAGTGTTGGGCAGCCATTCCAAGGGGCTTACTTGGAAATCAGCAAGAACCCCAAGTACAAAAAACTTAAAGATGCTGTGGATGAAAAGATCATTATTGCAGAAGTTGTGAATAAGATCAATAGAGCTAATGGGAAGGTAATAAAATGGCATTGCTTTATCCAGAAGGGTAGATGATTTTTGTTATAAATAAGCTGAGAGGGAGACTTGGTTTCTGTCATGTAATAGTCTGAGGATTTAAAAAAATGCCTTTTTTTAAGGGCAAGATTGGAAATGTTGGATTTATGTAAACTGGTGATTTTAAGCACCCATTTTAAATTTACATAAAGATTACTAAAATCTTGTTTGGGTTTGTAGTTTTCAGTGACTTTTTCAAACAAAAATGGCATCTCATCAACTGGTAACAGGCTGTATTGATTCACAACTAAGTGCAGTCTCTGTACCAAACTTAGATCTACTATTTGCCAATTGAAGAAAATAAATATTTAGATAATATTGTTATTGTTCAAGTATTTAGAAAACTTAACCTTTCAAGGTTCACACTGTCATTCAAGCTCCTGATTATCACATTTTATTATGTTTTAAAATTGTGAGTGGCATACTGTGCTAGCTTTGCCTGTCTTCTGATTGATATCAAAAGCTTTTTGGAGTGAAGAGGCAAGCTTCTTGTATCATTTGAATAAAGTTGTTAAATAAGCTGGGTACTTTTTTATTCTGCCAACACAGAACTTGTTTTGCATTTAAATTATACTTATTAAAACAGGAAGTATTATCCTCCCTTAGTAAATGTAATTGTTTTCACTGTATCTGTCTAAATATTAGAAGTACTAGATCTCAGCTTCTCAGATGTAGATGTCATTTATGCATTTGTAGGAGTAAAATTAGGTTGCCTGTTGTTGATGCCAAGTTAATTTTCTGGTTTAGAAGGAACTAATTAAATGAAGACAAAATCTTTCCTGTAACTGCATAGGCTACAGCTCTCCAAATTTAAAAAACAAAAAACAAAAAAACCCCAACAAAACCAAAACAATTAATCATGAGCTGTTCTGTGTGCTTAAGACAGCTACTTCTTAATTATAGTAGTTAAGATTTCATTATTTAAAATTTTACAGGACAAAAAGCTATATGTCGATTAAGTTCTCATTTTTCTTTCTCATTACTTTCTAAGATGAATTTAAGAACACACATTGATGCTTTAAAAATATTTCTCGTTTGAAAATATGAATGTGTATCCTCCTAAAGAATAATTCCACTAGATAAAGGGAGGACAATGTAACACTGAAAATACCTGCGTGATTTGTGTTTTTCTGCAACACAGTTTTGGTGAATAACAGTAAATAGGGAGGCTTAGTCCTGAATTGGCTATCACTGAAAAGGTATGTTGGTTTTCCTGGGGATTGACAGAGCATGAGAAATGAGGTTATCCTGATTTGCATAGTTTCTGAGTTTCAGTTTCTGAATTTTATAACTGTAAGCTAGTAATTAAAGGAACTGTTTATATCTAAGCATATGTGCCCAAATGAGCTAAGCTTCTCAATCTATAATTAGACACATAAATAAATTTGACCGGATTTTAACTGATCTGCAGCTTTTACTGAACATCAAACGTTCATGTTTACTAATGTGGTCCAAGCTTATTAACTCTATGAACTTCTTGTAGTCTTAGTAGGTGCTCAACAAAGACCGGTTCTCTGTTTATATAGATAATGGTTTGCATTTCTGTATTTTCACAGGCTACATCCAGGATTTTCTTATTAACCAAAAATAACGTTCTTCTTGCGGATCAAAAATCTGGTAATATCAAGTCAGAGGTTCCACTGGGAGATGTTACCAAAGTGTCCATGAGCTCCCAAAATGATGGCTTCTTTGCAGTGCACCTCAAGGAGGTTGGTTACAACTTTATAATACAATAATTTGACTGTTTTACATGCAATGATATAAAAAATGTTTATTAATTGTCTTGTAGCATTAAATTGTAGTGGTTAGCTTGTAGGTTTAGAAGTTTATTGAACTTTGCCATATCTGCAAAAACTTTGATTTAAAACTACTGAAGCCAAATGAGAACAGTTACTACATTACGAACGATCATTTCCTTGTGCAAATTAGACTGCATGCTTCACTTTAGCCTCTTCAGGATTGGAGTTTTCCATTTGTAATACAGGCCTTTAATCTGGTTTGGAGATCTTGTGGCAATGCTTTCCTTTTTAGCTGCTCATACAATTCTTCCTGACACACTAGCATAATATTTCTCTTCTTTATGGGATGCCAAGAAATCCACGTTATGGCACAGCTAATTTGGTTACTCATTTCTGAAGAACTTAGTTCAGTGCTATATTTGCTTCACTGCTAAAATCATTAAGCTGGCATTTGTAGTCTAGCTTAAATGGATTTGAAGAACGTCATATATGTATCTTTTCACACTGACCACCTTCATCCTAACACTGGTGTTGGCAATTGGTTTCTATTCCTTTCCGAAAAGATTGTGAGCTTGCCGCGGTGTAGCCAGAAGAGGGATACAGAAACACTACAGTTTTGTAGGACAGATGAAGGTGACCCTCCTTTAGGGTCGGGAGGGGTTTTTAACTTTCTCCACAGGTTTGCTGTTTATTTGAGAGTGAATTTCATTTTGATCCTATACGCTGCATCGCATCCCTATTTAATTTACAGATAAGAGACTCTTGTTTCATTGCACTGGGAAGAGAACACTCTTTGTAAAACCCCCTGCTTGGCTGTCGTTTAATATTTTTCATATTCTAGGTTTTGGTAGTCCTAACTACTTTCCTTTCTGTTTCAGGGTTCAGGAGCAGCTGGTAAAGGGGATTTCCTGCTCAGCAGCGATCACCTTATTGAAATGGCCACTAAACTTTACCGCACTACTCTCAGCCAAACCAAACAGAAGCTCAACATTGAAATATCTGATGAGTATGTTTCTTGTTTGCTTAGAAGTGCATTTCCTTCAATGCAACATGCTAAAAAGTCAAGTATCTAATGTTAGAAAAACAAAACACTGTTGTGTAACAAGTATTTCTTTTCTCTTGACAGAATACTTGTAAATAAGGATGGAATTTTCAATGTGTACTCATTTCTAGTATTCATTTTGGCTTTATTTCCTTGAAAGTCATTAGAGAAAATGTGCTTTTCTTAAGGTAGTTTCAAATAGGGCTGTGAAGCAGAATTGCTGCTGTAGAAATAATTAAGAGATAGTACATTTGAGAGAACCATTTTGTGTGTGACTGAAAAGTTTACATACTCCTATGAGATGTTTATCAATTAGAGCGGACACCAGATGCCAAGTTCCAGTGAAAACAACCAAAACAGAATGAAAAGCTCCTCCTGAAACACACATAATGATGGTGCTACTAATGTAGGTCTATAAAGCTCTACATTCTTTTGTGAAGGTGAAAAATATATTATTGCTGACAGTGTTTGAACCACCTATTGTTGGTTTGGGTTTTTCTGTTGTTAAAAAGTTTTGTTTGATAAAAAGCTTGCATCTCAAATCAGTATTTCTTTCTGCTTGGTTCAGTTTCAGATTTTGGCCTTAAGTAAGGACTGCACTTGCAGCGTTTACGCCCATGCAATAAAAACATTTGTGTGTGTGTGAGCTCCTAAAGCCTGCTGAGTGAGAGTCCCTCACTTAGTCCGCTGTTGTTATACACTCAGTTTCTTGTGTGAAGTGCCCCCTGATTTCAGCAGTGTTGCTGTGGTAGTTTTGCTCATTTTGAATAAAGAAGAAAATTTGGAACCCTGTAACAATAGTGAAATAAAATTTCCGTAGGCAAAAATTGAACCTTTTATCTGGCTGCACAGCACTGCTTGTATTCTAGAGTCATGGCGAGTACCTTTTGTATCTGTTCAGATTTCAGGGTTTATTTAAAGGCTACTTTTGCTGTTTCCTTGAAAATGACATATGCCATTTTTCTTTGTTCTGTTACTAGATGTGATTTAATTAATCAAGGGTGTGTTTTTTAGCCTCTGAAAGAGTGTGGCTGTCCCTAGTAAGATTCTAGTTTAATGATGGCTGCAAAGGAATAAACTACTAAACCAAAGTTTAAGCATGCATTGCACTAGTCTGGATTGCCTGCCTGCCTGCCTGCCTTAGGTCTGGAAAACTGTGCTTTCTGGGAGTTTTGCATTTTGGGATGTGTTTTTGTTTCTTGTCTTGCAGATTAAAAACATTCAAGTGTGTATTGCTATTGAGTTTATCCAGACTCAATAATTTTAAGTCGTTTGCTTCTTTTTTAGCAGTTTCATCTCTGTTGATGGTGAAGCGGTACTCTCTTCTCCCTGCTAGAGCTTAGATACAAGCACAGCTAGGAATCGAGGAGAAAATGTGGCCTTACTTTGACTACTGTACACTACTTTTTTGGGAAGAGGGCTTATATAAGTAAAAATGCTGTTGATCCAGGGGTATGTCTAGTAAGAGACATACTGTTTATATATATAATATTGGAGCAATGGGTCTAGGAAAATCATAGAATCATAGAATCGTCAAGGTTGGAAAAGACCCTTAAGATCATCAAGTCCAACTGTTAACTTATCACTGCCAAGTCCATCTATACCATGTCTCCAAGCACCGTATCTATCCGTTCTTTAAATACCTCCAGGGAT